CACAGATGCTGCCAGACCTGCTGAGCTTTTCCAGCAACTTTGTTTTTATTACTAAACTTAATTAAAGGTGATTATATGGGAATGAGAATAGAGTTGGCTGCAGTGGACTGAGAAAGGGTTTAGTAGAAAAGATAGCTAAGGATCAATGTCAGATGTTTTGAAATAAAAACATTCATGATTCACAGCAAAGATAAGTCCCTGTAAGGAAGATGAATTCTAGGAAGGGGATAAACTGATCACGGTTAACCAGGGAAGTTAAGGACAGTATCAAACTGAAAGAAAAATACATGCAACGTGACAAACATTAGTGGTAAATCAGAGTATTGGAAAAGTTTTAAAAACCAACAAAAGATGACCAAGAAATAATAAACACAGAGAGAATAAACTAGGAGGGCAAACTAGGAGGGACATAAAAAGAGAGTAAGAGCTTCGTTAAATATGTAAAAAAGAGAGGCAAGAGTGAGCATAGGCCCTTTACAGAATGAGACTGAGGAAATAATAATGGGGACCTAAGAAAAGGCAGAGGAGTTGGAACAAGTACTTTGTACCAATCTTCATGGTAGATGATATTAATAGCATTACAAAAAAATACTAAAATAATCAATGGTCTAAGGGAGGGAGGGGGGCGTGAAGAAATAAACACAATAAGTATCACTAGAGAAAAAGTACTAGGGAAACTAACTGGCCTAAAAGCTGATAAGCCCATTGGACCTGATGGGTTACATCTTAGGATTTTAAAATAAGTAGCTACAGAGACAGTGGATGCAGTGGTAGTCGTCTTCCAATAAGCCTTAGATTCTGGATAGGTCCTAGGGATTGGAAAAATGCCAATATATTACCCTTATACATAAAGGGAAGGAGACAAAGAAATAGGTAACTATGGGCCAGTTAGCTTAACACCTGTCATTAGAAAAATGTTAGAGTCTATTATAAAGTTTGCAACTACAAAGTATTTAGAAATACATAATATAATCAAGCAAAGTCAGCATGGTTTCATGAGGCGAGATCATGCATGACAAATTTATTACAGTTCTTTGAAGAGATAACAAGCAGTGTAGATAAAGGGGAACCAGTAGATATAATATTTCTGGATTTCCAAAAATAATTTTGATAAGGTACCACACTTAAGGCTACTTAACGTGATAAGAGACCATGGTGTTGGGAGTGATATATTGCCACGTGTAAGAAATTGGCTAACTAATAGAAAACAGAGAGTTGGGATAAGGGAGACATTAACAGGATGGCAATCCCTAATTAGTGCCACAGGAATCTGTACAGGGGCCATGATTATTCATAAGACATTAATAATTTGGATAATGGAAGTGAATGTACTATCATCAAGTTTGCTGATAACACAAAAATAGATGGGAAGGCAAAGAGCAAGGATGACACAATGAGTGTTCAGAGTGATATAGACAAAGGGCAGAGATTTGGCAGATGGCATATAATGTGGGAAATTGCAAGGTTTTGCACTTTAGCAGGAAGAATATAACAGCAGAATATTATTTAAACGAGGAAAGATCTCAGAAAGCTGCTGCATAGAGGATTTGGATGTCCTGACACATGAATCACAAAAAAGTTAGTACCCAGGTTCAGTTGTTATTAGGGAATACAAGTGTGGTGTTGGTCTTTATTTTTAAGGCAATGGAGTATAAAGTAGGGAGGTCTTGCTAAAACTATACAAGGCATTGGTCAGACCACAGTCAGAATTCTATGAACAGTTTCAGTCCCTTTACCTAAAGAAGAACATACTAGCATTGGAGACAGTCCAGAGAAGGTTCACTAGGTTAATACCAGGTATGGAGAGATTTTTGTATGAGGAGAAGTTGGGTAGTTTGGGCTGATGCTCAATGGAGTTTAGAAGAATGAGAGACTTTGTTGAAACATTATATTCTTATGGGGCTTGACAAAGTAGATGTGGAGAGGTTGTTTCCTCTTGTACGAGAGTCTAGAACCAGAGAGAAAAATCTCAGAGTAGGGAGTCTTCTATTTAAGGCTGGGATGAGGAAGAACTGAGGGTGGTGAATCTGTTAAATTAGTAAACACAGGGGGCTGTCATTAAACATATTCAAGGCTGAGAAAGATACATTTCTAATCATTAAGGGAATCAATGGTTATGGGGATAAGGCAGAAAAGTGGAGTTGCTAAATATCAGATCAGTCACGTTCCGCTCCTACATCTTATTATCTTATCATGGAGCATATTCAGGCATCCTGAAATAAAAAATTGATAAAGCATCAGAGAACATCAAATTTTCACTGTCACGGCTATTTTTATGAAACATATTACTGGACTATTTAACTGCAAGAGGAATCACAGCCAATCCTGATCACATAAAACACTTATGTTTCTATATCAAGTACTTTAAAGACAATTAAGTATTTTTGTAATATAGATACCTTTATTGCAACAAATATAGCAGTCAAATTGTGCAGTGTCCTGCAAAAAGTCATGTGATAATTATAGATTATCTGTTTATAGTGCTATTGGCTAAGGGATAAATTTTGGCCAGTACAGCGGGGAGAAATCCTCTGCTGTCTTCAAAATAGTTCTTTTATAATTACTGAGAGAGCAGACAAAACAACGTCTCAACCAAAAGACAACATCTGCAACAGTTCAGCACTTTTATAACATGCCAATCTTGATATTCAAACTCAAGTGGGACTCGAACCCACAATTTTTTGTACAGAAGAGTGGGCTACCAACTGAACCAAAACTGACAATTCTACAAATGCGCTTCCAGCACAGAGATAGTAAGAACTGCTGACGCTGGAGTCAGATTTTTGAAGAGGGGTCCCGAACTGAAATGTCAGCTTTCCTGCTCCTCGAGATGCTGCCCGGGCCTGCTGTGTTCCTCCTTCCACGACAGGTTGCTCGATTGGTACTGGACCTAATTCACTTCCCAAATTAATGGAAGTGAAATCTTATGATAACGTCTTTAGCAAATCCCAAATAAGAACTGATTAAATTCGAATCCAGTTTGGAATAAAATGAGCAATTGTTTTTCAACTGAGAGACTTGGTTAATTACTGAACAAAATTACTGTACTATTAATAATGCTAAACATGTTCGATTTTTAAATAATTCATATTTTTCTGATTTTAAATGAAAGTAGAATCACAGAACCGTTAGGAAGACCATTCGGCCTAATATGTCCTTGCCGTTTCCTGATAGCCTAATATTTTATTTCATCTTCAGACAATCGTGCAATTCCCTTTCGAAAGGCTCGCCTATCTCCAACACATCTTTGGGGCAATGCATCCCAGATCCTATCCAATTATTACATGAAAAAATTACCTCATATGGCCAGAACTCCATGTAATCGGAATTGTTTTTAATTTGAGAGTTTGTTTTTTGGTGAATGTTTGTTCCAGCTAACATGCACTTCTAACATTAGTTCACTGAGAACGAGGACCACACGCCCGATTGGTCTCAGGTCAATTATAATACACGGGTTACTCTCTATTACTAAAATAGTGATCAATCTCGGCTGTCAACTATGTTCTCCTTTACTAAGATGACCTTTGACTACGGACTCCTTTACTAAGATGGCCGCAAAAGCGGCACCGCTGGTTTCCTGTTGCTTGGCATTGTGGGAACGGTGATGGTGACTTCCAGAGTTTGAAGACTGTCAGGTATTACAGCAAATGAATTCTTAATTAATATCTCTTGTATGGTCGATTGTCAGCCGAACTTTGGTTGGTGGTGGAGATTGTTCATACCGGTTTGGGAATGTAAGGATAGGTGGCTTTTTTTTGTCGTGAGTTGTGTGTACTCACTTTAGGTAAAGGTTATCCCGTCGTTTCTTATGAATTTTCTGCCCTCTACTCGTTGTATAGTGGTAGCTCTGGTGGTTAAGTCATTGGGTAAACAGTCCAGAAACTTCGGCTAATGTTCTGGGTACATGGGTCCTGCCATTGCCAACTATAATGAAAAACTAGTCTCATGGTGGCCATGAAGCTAATCCGATGTCTATACCAAACACAAACAAGGAAATTGCTGGGGAAACTCAGCAGGTCTGGCAGCATCAATGGAGAGGGAAAACGAGTTAATGATTTGAATCCAGTATGCACTTCTTCCGAAGTTTTATTTTAATTGATGTCTTTACTTGTCTGGCCCGCATGACTCCAGACTCAATGTGTGCTTTCCCCTGAAGTGATCTAGCAAGTTACTCAATTGTATCAAACTGCAACAAAGTCTGAGAAGAATGACACCAGATGAACCAAGGCATTGATCTAAGCTGCAGAAATGACTGCGGCAATCTCAGCCTTGTTGACTCCCGGAAATCCTCTTCACTAACATATTGCCAAATGTGCCATAATTAAGAGGGCTGTCCTACAGACTGATGAAGCAAGTCATACTCACTAAATCATAACTTACACCACCATCATTATATCTTGGTATGTGCTGCCACACTGGCAGGAGATACCCACCAGAGATAATGGTGTAACGTTGTGTGGTCAGGAAGGATTTGCCCTTGGGGTCCCAGCAGGCCAATGAAGACTCCACTTGCTTTTGACCAAACCACTTGGAAAAAGTATTGAGGGTTTTAAGGGCACAGAATGCACTTTGGGATACATCAGTGTTCATCACCAAGTGTAGCTCTGTAGAGCTGGCCGAGTCCGAAGGGACATAGCTGCTTCAGTGTGTCTGTGGCAGGGGGTGAGGGAACTGCACAAGGGAAAGCCTGCAACTGACAATGACAATAGGAATGACCACTGCACAGTCCTTTTGAAGATGTGGGTGTAGTCTTCAAATTGAGGATATACTCCACCACGTTGATGGGCACTACACAATGCTAGTAATGGATAGATTCAAACAGGTCTGGCATCTCAAAACTACATCCATGAGACCCTTTGGGCCATCAGCAGCAAAATTGTAGTCAACCTAATCTGTATTCTAATCAACAGCCTGTAAAATGATGGCCCAACATGTTCCCCACTCCAACGTTCTCCTGCAGCAGGTGATGACCCTGGTTCAACGAAGAGTGCAAGAAGGCATATCAGGAGCAGAACCAGCCATATCTAACAGTGAGGTGTCAGCCTGGTGTTGTTGCAATGCAAGATGACTTGCATGTTGAACTTTAGAACACCATGTGCTGGACAGAGCTAAACCAACAAAGGGATCAGATCTAAGCTCTGCAGTGCTGCTGCGATCAGTTATGAATGATAACAATTATCTACAAGTGGAAGATGCACAACAACCTCCACTGTCATTGATGGGAAAGCCCAGCACACAAGTTCACAATATGAATTTGAAGTATTTCTAACCAACTTCAGAGAGTTGCTGAGTGGACGATCCATCTTGGCTTTCTCCTTTAGTACTCAGCATCGTAGATACCAGTCTTTAGCCAAGTTGATTTACATTTGATATCAAGAGACAGATGAAGGCTCCAGCTACTTCAAAGACTGTGAAACCTGACAACATTCCAGTAATGGCATTGAAGACTTGTGCTCCAGAACTAACAAGCCCTAGCCCAGCTATTCCAGTAGAGCTGCAACGCGACATCCAGCCAACAATGTGGAAAATTTCCCATGTAGGTGATGCCCACAAAACTCGGGACAAATCCTACCTGACCAATCACTGCCCTATCAGTCCACACTCAGTCATCACCAAAGTTGTAGAGGGAGTAATTGATAGTGTCATCAGGCACTTAGAGCCATTAAGTTATATAGCATGGAAACAGACCCTTCAGTCCAATTCGTCTGCGCCAACCAGACATCCCAATCTGACCTAGTCTTTTTTGCTAGCATTTGGCCCATATCCCTCTAAACCCTTCCTATTCATATAACCATCCAGATGTCTTTTATAATTGTAATTGTAACTGTACCCACCTCCTCCACTCTCATTACATACACGTACCATCCTCTGTGTGTAAAAGTTACACCTCAGGTCCTTTTTAAATAGTTCCCCTCTCACCTTAAATCTATGTCCTCTAGTTTTGGACTCCACCACCCTAGGAAATAGACATTGGCTATTCACCCTCTCCATGTCTTTCATGATTTTATAAACTACTCTAAGGTCACCCCTCAGCCGCTGATGCTCCAGGAATAAAGCCCCAGCCAATTCAGCTTCTCCCTATAACTCAAACCTTCCTGTCCTGGCAACATCCTTGTAAATCTTTTCTGTACCCCGTCAAGTTTAACAACTTCCTTTAGGAAGGCAACCAGAGCTGTGCACAGTATTCTGAAAGTGGCCTAACCAATGTCCTGTACAGCTGCAACATGACATCCCAATTCCTATACTCGGTGTTCTGACCAATGAAGGCAAGCATGCCAAACATGTTCTTCACCACCCTGTCTATCTGTGACTCCACTTTCAAGGAACTATGTATTTGTGTCCTTCAGTCTCTTTGATTGACACCATTTGATTAGTTTGGGTTCCACCAGGGCTACTCAGCTCCTGACCTCAACACAACCAAGATTCAAACGTGGGCAAAAAAGAACTCTGGAGTTGTTGAGAATTGCCTTGACATCCAGGTAGCATTTGACTCAGGCTGGTTTCAAGTAACTGTAGCAAAACTGAAGCCAGGAGGAATCAGTTGGAAACTCTTTATTGTTTGGAGTCATAAAAAGCACAAAAAAGGATAGTTGTAGTTGTTGGAGATCAATCATCTCAATCCCAGAATATCACTGCAGATGTTCTTCGTAGTAGTCTCCAAAGCCCATCTTCTGCTTCATCAGTGAAGGTCAGAAATGCTGATATTTGCTGATGATTGTACGGTGTTTAACACCATTTACAGTGCTGCAGATAATCATGCATTCTTTGTCCAAATGTAGCAACATCTGGCTGATGTCAAAGCTTAGACTGATAAATGGAAAGTAACATTTATGCCGAACAAGTACCAGGCAATGACCGTCTCCAAAGAGAGAAAATTTAACCATCTCCCTTTGACCTTCAATGCATTGTCATCAATGAAAAACCTTATCAATATCCTGGAAGTAACCACTGACAAAATTGAACTGGACCAGCTACATAAGTTCTGTCCCTAAAACAGCAGGTCAGTCGGTAGGAATTCTGTGGTGAGTAACTTGCCTCCTAACTCCCCAAGACCTGTCCCCCATCTACAAGGTACAAATCTGAACTGGGATGGAATATTCTTCCATTGACTGCATAAGTTCAGCTCCAACACCACTTGAGAAGCTCAATGCCATACAAATAATACAACCCACTTTATTGGCACACCGTCCGCCTCCTTCAGCATTCACTCTCTCCGCAATTAATGCGTATTGACAGCAGTGTATACCAATCACATGATGCACCACAGTAATTCACCAAGGCTCCTTTGCTAACACTTTCCAAACTACAAGCTCTATAATCTAGACGGACAAGAGCTGCAAATGCAAGGGAACACTGCCACTTGCATTTCACTTCAAGCCACACATCATCCTGATTTGGAACTGTATTGCCATTCTTTAATGGTCACTGGGTGTCAATCGTGGGATTCTTTTCCAACAGCACAGTGGGTACATCTGTGCCCATGGACTGTATTGGTTCAAGAAGGCACCTCACTGCCAGCTTCTTCAGGGCAATTCGGGATGGGTGATACATGCTAGCCTAGCCAGTGACACCATGTCCTATAAACAAAAAAAATCTAGTTCAACAAGCTTAACTTCCCCCAAGGTGTCTTATTCCGAACCATTTTCCTGAACTAGCCTATTCCTCTGTTTCCTGTCTGACTTTCCTCTCTGGGTTGATCTTATCCATGAGACCCACCTGTTGCTCCCTTGACTTAACTTCCACCAAACCCTAGGGCACCTAACTTCTTTGATATTGTTAGCAATTCACTCTCCTCGGATAATAACCCACCCCCAACAAATTCTGTGATTAACACTCCCGTCTTGAAAATGTCTGCTTTGACTGATTGCCCCTCTAATTGTTTTTTGGTGTGCAAGGCCTGGCCATTTAAGTGTACATTTTTTTTTTCTCAGCCTTTTATGTGTGATGTCTTAAAGGCAATAATTTAGAAGTAGCCTGCATGCTGCTATCTGGGTTACTGTGCAGCTTTATGTATCTATATCTTTCAAGGAATATTATCCCTTTGTCCTTGAATTTATAACCCATCTCCTACTCACCTTTCTTCTCTGAAGTGCAAAATGAGTTACCTCCCATATTAGTCATTTTGCCCCCAACTCCATGTTTGAGTCACTCTAATCAGGTTGTTACTTGGTTTCAAAAGTATAACTGCTCTAAAGAAAAGCCGGTTGACATATTAAATGATGAAATGGCCCTTACTCGTCCATCTCAAATTCTCTGCAACCTTCAATATGATTTGTCACAGTATTCTTCTGCAACACCTCTCCTTCATCATTCAGATGCTGTTCATCTTCCTTCACCGTACTGATGCAATTCTTCACTGTGTATTTGTAGCCTGACAATTGTCTGTAGTGACTTGCACCCACACTTTAATCTATGACTTCCTTAAGAGCCTATCCTTGTCACCTTTATCTTATCTACTTCTCATCATCAGTCAAAAACATCATGTCAGGTTCCACATGACACTGATGACATCCAGCTCTATCGCTCTATTACCACTCCCAACTGCTTTATGGTTTCTGATTTGCTACTCAGCTGTCTGATGTCCAGTGCTGGGTGAGGAAAACATTTCTCCCAGTCAGACATCGTAAGAATGGAAGCCATAATCTGCACCATAAACTTTGCTCCCTAGCCACTGACTTGATCTTTTTTCCTGGCTGCAGCTGAACCAGTATATTTGAAATCTTGCTGATGTTGTTGACCCTAAGACTAGTTTTCAATGACAGATCCATCCAATAACACCATGATTATGTCTCACACTTATATATACCAGGGAAAATTATCCCATTCTATTCACTCAGCCCTCCATGGTAGCTTTCTCTTCTCGAGTCAGTCTAGTGAGGATCGCAATAATCAAGTCTAGAGGAAATTAGCCTTTAGAGTTGAGTGTTTCAGTAGCAGGATTGCTGCAGCAGAGCAAGGTCAGTTGATGTTATGAAGTCAAAGTATGTAGTATTGTGTGGTATGCAAAGATACATAGATGTGGAAACATTTGAAATATTGTGGAGGTGTTTTTGTTACGAGATTGAAAAGACTTGAAGGTATGTAAAAATAGCGTGGGACAGAAAAGATTGAAAAAGAACATTTCAGTGATTGAGGGTTCTCAAATTTATTAGGAAAAATACACTTAAATGTAAGAGATTTAAGATGGAAAATAGAAGAAACTCTTTTTCACAAAGGTTTGTGGTGCTTTGAAAAGTACTAACAGAGTTGATCATTGAAACATGATGACATTTAAGATAAGAGATAGTAGGAACTGCCGATGCTGGAGAATCTGAGATAACAAGGTGTAGAGCTGGATGAACACATCAGCCAGGCAGCATCAGAGGAGCAGGAAGGCTGACGTTTGGGGTCTGGACCCTTTTTCTGAAGAAGAGTCCAGACCCGAAACGTCAGCTTTCCTGCTCCTCTGATGCTGCCTGGCCTGCTGTGTTCATCCAGCTCTACACCTGGTTGTCTAACATTTAAGATAATCTATTTTCTGGGTTCATAATTGAGAACGTTTTGTGAGCAGAATGGCAGAGCCTGGAAGGAATAACCACAGCACACTCATTCTTCACATCGGAAGTAATCTTAATTTCACGACTTTGTTTTAAATGCCTTCATTCCTCTTTCCTCGTACATTTGTTAGCTGAATTACATCTTGGAATGCACAAACTAGTTCAGTCCAGATCAGTTATTAATACTGGGACTGTTGCGGTGTTTAGGTGGTGAAGATCTTGTACCTTAACCATTAAGTTTATCTTTTAAATTAACAGTTTGAATGTACGTATTTTAAAAATATTACAGTAACATTGCTAGTGCAGTGTTTAATACAAAATGTATTGTTATTGAACAAGAAAGCTTGCATTGATGTTGTACGTTTGATTTCTTCAATGTACCCCCAAAGCACTTCAAAATGAATGACATATACATGTTATAAATACTTTTAAAACTTTGTCAATGTTGACAGTCTTAATGCCTTTTAATAAATAATTTTATTTACAGTTGACAATGATGATAAGACGATTATTGTTCAGCTTGAAGCCTGCAACATGGGAGCAGTGTCTCCATGAGATTCATACTCTGAGTTGGAGAAATACTCATGACCTGCAGCTTCGTTCAGGCCTATTGGTTTTACAGCAAAGCTGGTTACCTGGGGGAGTCAACAAATTCAACCTGCCACTTATTAGGCTTTTAGCAACTAAAAGGGTAAGGTACTTTATTATAGTTTTTGGTCAGGTGATAGTTTGACTCTGACTTACTACCGTGCAAGTAAGATATCAAACTGGTTAATTCTAGTTTTGTTTTCATGCTGTGTTTTATTCTTTAAATTGTGGGAACTAGACTATATTAGATTTAATTACTGACCACATATCCACGCTATACCACTGTGATTACATTTTACACTGATCAATGCCAGAGAATATTAGCCCATTCTATTCAATCTACCCTCATAGACAGCCTTCTCTTCTCGAGTCAGTCTAGTGAGGATTGCAATAATCAAGTCTAGAGGAAACAAGGCTAGAGTTGAGTGTTTCAGTAGCAGGATTGCTGCAGCAGGGCAAGGTCAGTTGATGTTATGAAGTCAAAGTATGTGGTATTCTGTGGTATGCAAAGATACATATATGATACATATATGTAGAAATACTTGAAATATTGGAGGTTTTTTTTGTTGGGAGATTGTGTGGCAGTTGTCGGCATCTGCCCTATTTTACATTTTCTGAAATTGATGAAATAATAAATATTTTCTGCTTCCCATTTCGAAAGTGGCAAAAAATCTAATTCATTTTGTGGCTGATCCAATTAACTTGATCAAAATTCCATTTTCCTGCTAGTTATCTAGTGAGGAGTTAGGAATTGTAAGTTATACTTCAATCATGACTACATTGCTTTACAGTGTGAGAACATCCATGCAAAAATGCAGGATGTAGCATTGAAAATTAATTGTACTTCTGTATTAATTCAATTATCAATGTAGATAATTCACACGTAAAGTTGGTCTCTTCTATCTGTGCAAAGAACACAGATGAATTACATGATAACATGAAAGTTTACTAAGCAATCGAGAAATCATTATTGTCATATTAGGAAGTTGAGCAACCAGTAGGCTGAAAGCTTTGGTTCTACATTTGCTTCAGAGAAAAGCAGAATGACTATATCCTGGAAACATGAATTGGCAGAAAACTCTGGTAGGAATGGTTTAAAGGTTTGTTAAAAGTGGCTATAATGTTAGGCAGAGTAAATTTCAGAACACTAAAAGTGTGTATAGCAAGGGTAAAACTATTCACAAGGAACTTTAATTTTTATATAGACTCTGCAAATCAATTTGGCACTAATCGTTTAGAAAATGAGGTCATAGAAAGCATACAGATTGTATTTTTTTATGCTGGGAGGAACCAAACAAGAAGTTTCAGATCCAGTATTGTGTGATGAAAAAGGATTCATTAATAACATTTTAATAAAGGGGCCTTTAGGGAAGACTAATCATATGTCATTGATTTTGAGAGTAGTTTGTATGTGATGCTAAGGTCTTGTGTCTGAACAAGTAAGGGTGTGAGTTGAGAAACTAGATTGATTACTGAAAAGAAAAATAAACCAAAGATTGGAAGAATTTTAAAACCCAGTGAGGATCTTGAAATTGATGACCAGGAAAGAAATTGACAGCAAACTAGGAGGTTTGTAAAATTTTTAAGCATTGAAAGGTACAAGATTTTATTAGAAGCAGACACAAGATAAATTATGGTGGTGAATAAGGAAATGACATTTGGAATATCAAAATAAGATCAGACCGACTCAAGACACATTTTTGAAAGGTAATTGTATCTTATAAATTTCAACCTTTTGAGGTTGTAGCTGGTAAGTGAATAGGAAGGAAAAAGATGGTGTATTTGCATTTTCAATATGTATTTAATAAGGTGCTTCATAAGGGTTTTGCAAAAGATTAAACCTCATGAGTTTAAGATTATATAATGCCATAGTTTGAGGATAGATTAGTGGACAGAAAAGAGTGACAATTCAGTTGGCAAGATTGGATTCATTAATTTGAAACCTGTATCAGTGTTTAGATGAAGAATCTGAGTGCAATGATTCCAAGTTTGCTGACTATATAATATTGGTTAGGGAAGCAAAGAGGCTGGATAGGCTGCAAAGGGTAAGTGATTGGAATAGAACAAGATAATTGGAATATGATGTGGGGAAGTGTGAAGTTATCCACTTTGGAAACAAAGAGAATATTTTTAAATGGTCAGCATGATCTTAGTGAAGGGAGAGGAGGCCTATTCCTCCTAATTCTCTTGTTCTTTACTTTGAAATGCTCTGATTCATTTGAATCATCTCTGTTGACATATAACCTTTACTTATTGCTTATTTGCTTTCTATGTTTCCCCCTGTGTAATGTTCAGGAATGTTGGGATATTAAAAAGCTGGCATTTCCCTCTTCAACTGTTCTAAGTGGCTTTAAAAAAGGAATCGGGAAGATTGATGATTGATCTGTTACTCAGCAACAAATTATAAATTCCTGTGCTTCGGTGGACATTATAATTGAATATTGTAGAAAATAACTGTCTCTGGTCATTTTTGGCAAGTTTAATGGATGGTTGTGAACATGTTAGTGGTGCAGCAAAGCTTAAAGATTACATTAAATTGTCAGTAGTGACAACTTGAACAATATCCAGAATGTTACAAAATGAAAACTGAAAGCACTGCAGATGCTGGAAATCAGAAACTAGAACAATGTTACTTATGAGCACACATGGTAACATTGAACACAGACAGTTGCAGTACTATTCTTTAGTGCAATTTTGCAGCCTAAGAAAGGCTCTTGTATGCAGACTACAGGCTTCAGGAACAATAACTTGCATGTATTTATGACACTTCTTGCAGAGAAAGGTAGATTGAAGAATGTGAGGATGAGTACAAAAACAGAATCCGATATATGCAAGGTGTAGATGAGAATTTGTGGTTGGAAAATCTGCAAAGCTGAATGATGAGATAACAAGTTGTAGAGCTGGATGAACACAGCAGGCCAAGCAGCATCAGAGGAGCAGGAATGCTGACGTTTCGGGCCTAGACCCTTCTTCAGAAATGACTGTGTGGGCGCCGCCTCGTGCTCCCACGAGGAGCTCGAACAGTTCATCCACTTCACCAACACTTTCCACCCCAACCTTAAGTTCACCTGGACCATCTCTAATACCTCTCTCTCCTTCCTGGACCTCTCTGTCTCCATCTCTGGCAACCACCGAGAAACAGATATCCATTTCAAGCCCACCGACTCCCACAGCTACCTAGAATACACTTCCTCCCACCCACCTTCCTGCAAAAATGCCATCCCCTATTCCAAATTCCTTTGCTTCCGCCGCATCTGCTCCCAGGATGAGGCATTCCACTCCCGTACATCTCAGATGTCCTCGTTTTTCAAGGACCGCAACTTCCCCCCCGCAGTGGTCAAGAACGCCCTCGACAGTGTCTCCTGCATTTCCTGCAACTCATCCCTCACACCCCCTCCCCGCAATAACAACCAAAACAGAATCCCCCTCGTCCTCACGTACCACCACAACAACCTCCGGATCCAACGCATCATCCTCTGACACTTCCGCCATCTGCAATCCGACCCCACCACCAAAGACATTTTTCCCTCCCCACCCTTATCTGCTTTCCAGAGGGATCACTCACTCCGTGACTTCCTTGTCTGCTCCACACTCCCCTCCAGCCCCACCACACCCGGCACTTTTCCCTGCAACCGCAGGAAGTGCTACACCTCCCCCCACACCCTC